TTGTGTCCTCTCTCTCTCTCTCTCTCTCTCTCTCTCTCTCTCTCTCTCTCTCTGTGTGTGTGTGTGTGTGTGTGTGTGTGTTCACCTTTGCTCTGATCCAAATGAAGACCTCTGCTTTGTTTTGGGCCTTGCAATGAGAAGACACTACAAGCAGCTATTATCTACTAAGACTTAACAAATGTAGTGTAAGTGAAAACTATATGTTATTATAAGCCACTAAGATCTTTAGGATCATGTGTTACTATAGCAAAGTCACATAATGCAAATACCAAGTAGTAAATGATAAATGGAAGATAATAAATGTGATAGTCTCAATTTCCATTCACCTTTATTTATATAAAAGTATATTAAATAAATAATCTCAATATATACAAATAGAAGCTATATACATAGAAATCCCATATACAAACCTTTAAAATTTATATAAATATACGCAGTGTTAACCATAGACACTTTAAGTACCTTAAGTCATAAACTCAATGTAGTTTTTTTGTATAGTAGTCTTATAAAAATAGAGTTGGCTACCAAATATTTAATCCCCACCATTGTAGTTAAAGTGCTAAATTGTAATACATAACAGAAAGATGCCCCATGCAGAAATATACTGCATTTAACACATTAATATGAAAGTTTGCCAATTTCTTTGAACTTTCAACAGTACCTAGAAGGGGGAAAAAAAGAAACCAAATACCACTTTACAAAAGGACAGCTGTCAGAAAAGTCTACCCAATTTCCATTTTAACTGTTCTATAGCCAATGAAATCAGCTTCTTAAAGGCTCTCCCAAAAGTCCACCCCAGTTATACGAAAGGCATCTGTCCCCTGGTGACCTAGTGTCTTCCTGAGTGTAGAATAGACAATCTAAAGCATTTGTGCAAAAGACTCTGTAGTGTTAACCTGTCTGTACCCTTCAGTACACTCTAAAGTGACAAATGCTAGTGTTGGAATCAGAGTGTTGGCTGGAATATCAGGTCGCAAAGGGAACCTTTCTGTACCAGGATCATCAAGCTCTCTGCTCCATATCCTTGGTCCCCATTAGAGGTCTTGGTAACAGTGCCCTGCAGGTAGTGCAGGATTTAGAGGCTTCAGACTCCTTCCTCTCCTCTATGCTGAGCGAAGTGGGGAGTTCTCCTTCCTTTTCTGCCCTGCTCTGCCCTTTCTGTGCTTGCACAGATATATGGACAGGAAGATGACAAAGAGGATGAGCACAAACACCACTGCTCCCACAATGATGAGTGTTTCTGAAAATAAAAAATAAAAGATACAAAGTCAACTTGGAGGCTCAAATCCCATTCACAGGTGGGCATGACCCCAAACTACACCATCCTTCATTTTTTCAACCGAAAGTCTATTTCTTTTACCCTTTCTACCACTCTTAGACTAAGAAAGAATTTACCTGGCCTCATATGCTTGAGAGAAATGACAATGGTTAAGCATTAAATGAACCACTCCGTGTTCCTGGCTAGAGAAGACTGTGACTTGGTACTTAAGTCTGAATTGCATACACAGTGCCCCATAGAATTTGACCCATTGCAATTGCCTAGGGAAGTGCTTGCTAACTAAGGGAACCATGTGGAATCATTTCTAAATTTTCCCAAAGAGAACTCAAAAAGAAACCCTAAAACACCCTAAGGTGGCTTCTCCCTGGTGTTTGATCCAAAGAGATACATGTTGTCTCTGCTGTGGGGCAGCCAATCCTCCATGGACACTTACCTCCCATTATACTCTCCCATTCGTCCGAGCACTCGGTGTCGCTTTGTGGGCTCTGCTGGTCATCTTTCCTGGAGTTAATCAGAGCTTGTACAGAGAAGCAGTAGCTTACTGGTTGATCCACAAGAATGGAGAAATCATTAGTTTTTGTATTGGCTTGCTTCTGTGAAAAGATAAAGAGTTCTTCTTATTCCATCTAGACTCAGAGTGAATTCTTTCCCCTTATTTAGTCACTGGGGAGGGTGAAACCTGAGCTCTAAGCAAAATCTATGCAGACATCATTGACATAGGATGACTAGAAGTTACTTGGCTAATCAGTAACTCCTGATAACTGTTAAAGATACCTTTGCCAAGGCTGAAAAGATACAACTTAGGTACATCTGACTCAGTTCAGCCCCCCCTTTTTTTCTGTAGGAAAAAAAAGAACCACTGAAGAGGGGACATTTGGGGGCCAGGGATGTAACTCATTGATAGAGAACTTGTCTAGTGTACAAGGCCCTGGATAACAACCCAAGCATCACAAAGTAGCACAAGCGCTCACGAGAGAGAGAGAGAGAGAGAGAGAGAGAGAGAGAGAGAGAGAGTAGTTAATAAGTCATTTCCCCCTCTGGGAACCCCAGTGAGGATGTGGGAGAGGACAGGAGCCTTGGAGATGATCTGGTCCAGCTCTTTGGTTGAGAAACTGGAATCTCTGAAAGGACCTGCCCAAGGGCACAAGGCAACTAACTCAAAAGTGACAGGAGAATGAGGACCTGTCATCCATACCGCCATGTCAACCCCTACTCCTATATTTGAACTAGGAAACCCCTATATTTGAACTAGGAAAGAAGTGGGCTGTGGAGAATCAAGGTTCTATAAAACAAGGAATAAAAATGAATGAAAAATTTCTCACCTTTCCTGAGCTTGAGTCTCTCCAATAAAGAAGTTTATAACTCAAATCCTTGCCAAAAACCTCCCGCAAGGTGAGGAATGTGCCGTTCCTTCGGACCGCTGTTTGTGTGTCTTCTACCGTCACATTCAGCTGGGTATCCTTTTGTTTAAAATGCTTAATTACTGGCTGTCCAAGTTTTGCTGGAATGGGAAAAAAAAACAAATTATCTTTGTTGGACATTAGAATCAATACAAAGAAAAGATCACTGAGTTGTCGTTAACTGACAACTCCTCCATGGCTCATATAGAACATCTGTACTGAATCAGCTCCAGTAGCAGGAGTGGTGGGATCCTAGAGCTGAGTTCCAAGACAGCATGCAGCAATGCCATCCTCTGGAAACATAGGAGAGCTTTCCTTACAACCATCAGAAAATGTGAAAAGGAGCTGGTGGAATTAATCTTAATAATAAACTTTAACAGGTTCATTGGTAGACTAGCATTTTAGCATGCAATCAATATAAATACTTCATGTATATTTTGCATTTTTCAAAAACTGGCGTATGTTTCATCTTGGCAGTATTAGCAGTATTTCTAGAGTCTGGTTGCCATGTGTGTGGATGGTTGCTACCAGGCTGGATGATGCAGTTTTACAAGCGTCCATATTTTAGCTAAAATAAATTAGGGGCTGGGAAGCCCAAGAAGTGTCCCTGGTCCACCAAGGAATCCATTTTAAGCTATTTCTGGTTCAGTTCCCTCATGTGCTCCAGTTATGTGATGATCAAATAAGTCCCCACCCTTTGCAGTGTGTGTGTGTGTGTGTGTGTGTGTGTGTGTGTGTGTGTGTTGAGAGAGGGAAAGTCTGTCATGTACCAAAAGGAGTTGGTCTGGATTATTGAAAGCTCAAGAACTACAAAGGATAATCATGGCTCGGGCCATGAGACCGTCAGTGAGCCTGCATGAGATGAAGGTGTCATGCAGAAACAAACATACGGGGGAAAAACACAAAGGAGTCTGAAGAGAGAGGCTTGTCAACCAATGGAGACCCTAGGAAGAAGGCCACATTCACCTGGGTAATTAGCCCATGAGAGCAGATATCAGACATAAAATTCTGGTCAATTGTCCCTCACCCTTCTCACCATCCATGTTACAGAGCTGTCAAAGGGGTACAGATAGGAACATCAAGAATCCAACACTTTACTTTGAGTCAGCAGGGCTTGCAGAAGTAGTAGAGTTCATTCAGTCTCCCTAATATGCTGCGTGTGCTCACGAAATGTCAGCTTCTGAATCACAGTCCCACACCCACCACCACCCCCAAAAAGTCTCCTACTTGGCAGGAATTCTTTGCATTCCCTTATTAGATGGCAGACTAGCACACTGGCACAAAGGTAGGGAAGAAAGTATGCCACACGCTCAAACCCAGCTAGAGGGAGGCTGGCTCAGAGCTGGCGCACACTGGCTCATCTCAGGAGCAAATGAAGCTCAGCTGGTTGAGGAACCAATTACCTATTTACAGGTACAAGCAAGCTTCCCTGTGGATCTGGGTTTGTTTGGGGACAATCCTCAACTAGGACCTCTAATCTGAAGGGATAGAAAATCCATGTGTGACATGTATCCTGACAGTGTATCCCAAGGAAAAGCCACAGCCCTAGCCTTGGTTCAACCTCCAGCTGGTTACTGGTAGGAACTGGGAGTAGCCTGGAGGGGAAATTAGATGACACAGTGGTCAGCACACAAGTTCACGTTTTGTGAAACTCCCGCCACAACTGCAGAGAATGGAAGGCTTATTTATTAGATACCTATCTAGCTCTCTCAGTGTATAGAGATATATGTTTAATCTAATGGCCAGTAGGGGTCACAAAGCACAAGAATATACAGCACACGAGACCAAGAATGAAGGCATTACAAACCAAGCTACTTACTGTCTCGGTAAGGTAAAAAATCCGGGGCGTTTGTAAATGGTGGTTCCTTCAAATAAGTGTTATTCTCTGGGACAGATAGGACCCTTGCCTGATAAGTCAGGTGCACGTCTTGCACGACCTCGTCTGTGAGGTCACACTCGGTGTCTGTGGTTAAGAAGCATTTGATTTTCCAGTCTCTAGATCCAGAGCTAAAGGAAGGAAGGAGAAAAAGACATGGGATGTTAGGGTCTGTGTCCACCAGCATGGATGGCTCTGCGCTACCAACTGGCAGCCATTGGGAACCTGAAGAGGCATTGCCCACCTGAGCATGTGCCACATGAATGTAAGCTCACCCAGCAACAGGCTAGCTCTGCTAGAGTTTTTTCTTCATTTTTCATTAACTAATTTTTATTTCATGTGCATTGGTGTTTGGCCTATATGTGTGTCTGTGTGAGGGCGTCATATCCCCTGGAACTGGAGTTTACCCACAGTTGTGAGCTGCCATGTAGTGCTGGGAATTGAACCCAGGTCCTCTGAAAGAGCAGTCAGTGCTCTTAACCACTGAGCCATCTCTCCTTTTAAAATGCATGTGCGCATGGAAGGTCAGAGACACTAAACAACTTTCAAAGTCACACAGTATCCAGTGGTAGAGCTTGGTTTGTTTGCCTCATTACACCACATGCTAGCTGTGACTACAGAATGAGAACACACCTCCCCAAAGATCAGAGAAAACCAGTGCACCCATTTAGCAAAGTCTGAACATCCTCCGAGGACAGAGGACAGAGCTTTCTTTTTGTTAGGCACCGTTGAAGAGAATATAATTTGAAAAACTTCTGTTGAAAATGAAATTGTTTGCAAGGACTAAAATGACCATTAGCCAAGCTCCACCACACCTTGTCCCATGTACTCCTACCAAATGAGTGGCAGGATTCACTGCTCTGTGGTTCACACCATCCTTCCAGACAGACCCCAGCACTCAAACCAAGTTCCAGATCTTCGTATCACCTTGCTAGGCACTCATCTCTCTCTCTCTCTCTCTCTCTCTCATTCCCACCCTGCTGCCACGAAAGCTCTGAACACGTGGGCTCTTTGGACCGAGAGTCATGTTTTCATATTCCCACCCTGCTGCTACGAAAGCTCTGAACACGTGGGCTCTTTGGACCGAGAGTCATGTTTTCATCTCTCTACCAAGCAGTGGGGCTTCAGCGTGTGCTGAGTATGAGATTGCTACCCTTTCAGGGTGAATACACACTTCCCATGACTGCACACATTAAAAAGAATCCAGCCCCTCCTAAGAGAGATTATATCAAATGAGGTAACATGTGCAAAGGGACCAGCATAATAGCTGATATACAGGAGAGTCAGTGGTTGACTAACCATACATGATGATCATAACAGAATGCAATTATGTAGGTAATCTAATAATGATAGACTTTATTATTCAACCTAGATATAGACTATGGCACAAAAATGAGCAGGGGAGTCACGTATAGATTCATTTATGTAAATCCACACAAAAGAGGGACAAATGTGGATTCTTCAAAAATATAACCAGCTGAGAGTTTGAACCTGGGTACATATATCCTTTATTCTCAAAGTCACAAGTTAACATTAAAATAGAAATATTTTAGCTTCTTGTACTTTTTTTTTCTATTGTAAATATGGAGAGGCTGCTTGGATCCAGAATGACCAAAACACACCTTGATTACATCTTTTCCATATCAAAAGCCCATGGTGGCTTAATGGTTTCTTTCCACCAATAAGACAAACAAGTCACTCAGGGGATAGAGTCTGGGTGAGGACCTACAGCTGAGAGATACAGTGTTTTGTTCCACCCAGCTCACAAGTAGGAACATGTGCTCTCTGAAAAAAAAAAAAATAGAACAGGGCCCTACACCATCCTGTGACAACAGGTCAAGGAGAGGACAGTTCTCCAATGAGGTCTCCAGGCAGGGTGCTGCCAAGAGCACAACCACTTAAAAGTCTTCAAGGTCCCTCTAGGTTAGTGAAAAACTCCCCACATTCGGAAATAAAAGTCCCTCCTAGCTTTCTGAGGCGTTCCAAGAGAAAACAGACATTCACTAATTGAGTTAGAGGCTCAATGCTTCTCAATGCTTCTAAATTCAGCTTCAGAATTCAGAACACACTGTGGACTGGATGGCACAAGTCATGGATGGTGCTGAGGCTGGGACCTCTGATACTGCCCAGCTACCACTGAGCCTGTTTTCAGAGAAATTGCTTATGGAGACTCAGCCAATGAGCTTTGTTACCAAAGAGCTACTCTTGGGCCAGCAGCACAAAGCCAAGCTTTGGCAGCATAGGCGGGGGTGGGGAACAGGGTCCCCTGGTTAAGGTGTTTTCTCGTTAGGGAGGAGATGAGAAAACAAAGGAGACTCGGGAGAAATATTGATGTGCAAGACTTTCTTCCTAGTCTTGTACCAGCCTGACAGAGTCTTCTGCAGATGTGGCACGCCTCAGTTCCAGGCAGCCCGGGCATTCACCAGGAGCAAGTCAGGGTAGGTCCCTGGCTTCCCAGAGCAACAGTTTCATCTAGAAGAATGACTGCTGTGATTCCCTTACCCCTGGAATCCCCTTACTCCTGGGAAGGGTAAGGACTAGCTCAGGTCTCAGGCATTCACTGATGGACATGCTTCCAGGATCAGCCAGCTCAGCAGCAAGGACCTGAGGAGGGTGACCCGGGTCTGTCTCTGGGCATCCCTGAGCTGTGCCCTGAACTCTGATGTTTGCAGATCAAGAGCCCTACTCATCTAAATAACGACCACTTTAAAAAAAAAAAAACTCCCAAAATTTAACAGCTAATGAAGATTTCTATTTCAAAAATCAAGTCAATCCAAGATATATTTCCAATGTTATTCAAATTAAGACAATGTATTTAGACGATAATAGTTCCTCCCAGAATTTAATATTTAAATCTAGGAGAAAAGTATTTCCTAAGATAAATGTCAGGTCTGTATAAAGGAAATTAACTACTTTAATAACTTTGAACTGTTAGAATATGAACTGGCAAGGTTTGAATTTGTTTCAAGTCAGGCTCTCACTGTGTAGCTCTGAGTGGCTTGGAACATATATGTAACCTTGAACTCAGAACTACTTTAATAACTTTGAACTGTTAGAATATGAACTGGCAAGATTTGAATTTGTTTCAAGTCAGGCTATCACTGTGTAGCTCTGAGTGGCTTGGAACATATATGTAACCTTGAACTCATAATCACCATTACCAGCTCAATTACATTGAAGAGGGGGCAGGGATTATGGATGGGACCCAAGGCTTTGCACATGGTAGGAAAGAACTCTACCACTGAACTATAGCACCAGCCTTTGAACTGATAAATTTGACAATGGGGATTATAGATTATGAAATTTCTTTATGCACAGCTATGCATGCATATATGCATGCGTGCTCACACTCAAATTCTCTCCCCTTTTGGTTTGGAAAAGGTTATTACGCAGTTCATTTTGAAAAACAAGAAAGTCATTCAAAAGACCCACACCTAAGAGTTGCATCCTAGTACTATAAAAGGTTTGGCACAAGCGGAAACTGAAACACAAAGAGTCAAAATGTGCTTGACTTTTGCCAGTGATTCTCTTGCTTCTTTACATCATCATCATCAAGTAATTTCTACACCAGGCAACCTCAGTTTCTCAAGTTCCTTGCACATCTCCTAGAACCTATCAGAAACCAAAAACTTGCCAAGAATATGTGAAAACTATCAAAGGACATCGTGGCACACCCTGATACTTAGTTTTAAAGTGCTGAATTACTTGTTTCTGAGAGCTATCAATCAGTGAACCGGCATGAATGAGCCCAACAGCCCCCAGACAGCAAAAGATACAGACAATCCATCCTTCAGTGTTTTCTAAGCAGCACAGTGAGTTGGGAATTTGGCCTATGCCAAGATCATGATGAGTACAATGAAAATTTGATTCGCAGAGTCCAGAGACGAATGAATCAAACGCTGCTTCAGGGCAGTGTAGACACTCGAATTCCTCCTACCTCTCCCTGACAAGGCCAGGAGCAGCTCAGTCTAGACAGCTAGCAACCAGGAAAGTATATTGGTGCTTATAGGAGATTAGCTGCCACTGATCCCAAAGCATAGTATAGATGCCTGTATGAGCAGGCTCACCCCTCTACAGCTTATATGCACTTAGTAGTTTTCCTATAATTTCCCCCAAATTATATCATTTTATTTATTTGTTTTTCTTTTTTCTTTTGTTTTTTTGAGACATGGTTTCTCTGTGTAGCTTTGGAGGCTCTCCTGGCACTTGCTCTAGAGACCAGGCTGGCTTCGAACTCACAGAGATCCACCTGCTTCTGCCTTCCAAGTGCTGGGATTAAAGGTGTGCGCCACCAATGAACACCGGCTTATTTATTTGTTTTTCATTATTTACTTAATTTGGTACAGGGTCCCATGTATTGCAAGGTGGCCTGTATACACCTAAGACTGACTGCGAATCGTTAATCTTACTTCCTCTACCTTCTGAGTGACACCATGCCAATTCTATGCATTGCTAAGGATCTAACCCAGGCCATTAAGAGTGCTAAGTAAGCACTCACTGAACTGGGTACAACCCCAGCTCCCATCATAACAGTTTAGAGTATGAAGATGTTTCCACTATGATGGGAGGTGACAGTGGCCAGCAAGTTACCAGGAAAACCCTATCACTTGCTGAATAGCCTCACCTAACATCAGCCTTAAAGGGTCGGTATTAGGGAACAAGAACCGGAAGAGCAAAAAATTATCTTTTCGTTTTTTAACCTACCTTACCTTATCTCAACATTGTAGACATAATCGGTGGGTTTGGGTTTCCACTCCAAAATTGTCTTGAAATTAGTTGATTTCCAAGTTAAATCAAACGCTTTCTGTGGTGTACCTACGAACAACACAAAAGCACTATAATTGCATGCACGTTTGTGTTCATTAAACACTCTCCCAGCTTCCGTCAACAAAAGGAGCACATTTTAAATGTCAATTCCAAAGACGTTGCTGACTTATAGAGAGGGTGAGCGCGCGCGCGCGCGCGTGTGTGTGTGTGTCCATTTTTTCCTCTAGATCCATATCATGCTCCAGGCAACATCCACATGGCAGTCTATGGAAATGACTAAAGACCCTAAAGTCCTTGTTTAAACGACTCAAGGGAAAGCTCACTTTATAACGACATGGAAGGAGGGCCCAAGGTCCGCTCACATGCCAGAGAGTCCCAGACCCTTCTAATGCAGCCAGGCTCAAAGCAGAGGCAGCGAGGAAGGGTTTGAAGAAGTTCGAAGAAGGGCGCATCCCACACACGTGAGACGAGTCAGGAATGCACATAAACGACAAAAGCCAAACTTGACCCTTCCCACTGTAATCTAAAATAGCTCTACACTGAAACTCCCGCGGAGAGCAAGGTGGACAGGCAGCCCACGTGGCACCTGTCACATGGTGGGATGCCATTCCATTAAAATACTCTGTTATTGATGTCTTTTTTCTTTTTTCTTCTTTCTTTCTTTCTTTCTTTCTTTCTTTCTTTCTTTCTTTCTTTCTTTCTTTCTTTCTTTCTTTTTTTTGCAAGTCCTCGGGTTTCAGCCTCTGTCTCACCCCCAAACATTGGGCAGATGTGGGGGGTATGCACTCCGTATTGCCTGAATTTATCAGATCTAAACCAAAGGCCGCAAGAACAGCTATTTATTACGGGAAGGCGCTCACCTTGTCAAAGATAAATGCAAGCCACAGAAAGCACGCCGACTTGGACAGAGGCGGACCCACGCGCCCGCCACCTTCAGAGAAGCAACTTCTTAGGAAGCTCTTTTCCCAAAGTAAAGCGAAAAACTCAGATCATTGTGCAACCACGGTAGACGCACAGAGCAGGCATCTCCAACCGCAGGCGACAGAAGCCGGAGTCCGGCATCAACTACCCCCACGCCTTGCGTTCATTCAAACCCTCAGGACAAGCCCAGCGGAGTCCACAGGTGTGGCGGCAC